AGGAGTCCATGGATTACTAGTTCTGAGTGAAGTGACCCATTCATTATCAATCCAACATCAAGATTAAAAGGATTTATTTATAAAAAGAATCGCTGTACTTATACTCATATCAACACAAATCGATGAACAATACATTTCATTTTTTACATTCATCTTAATACGGACAAGATGAGTTACCCTTTTTATCTGTTGTTAAAATATATTCATGATCAAAGACGAATTACTTGCTCACCCTTTTTTTATTATGTTTCTATTACTCACCGTGTTTCACTATTTCCTCCAATCCACCCTAGCTTTTTAGGTCATGAAATATTGCAATACCGTATGGAATTATACGGATACGTTTTGATGTGTACAAACCAACCCGTTTAACTTATTTTAGTATGATAACAATTGGTTTATTTTTATTCGTACATGTTAATCTCGTATAATAGTCTCTTGAAACTCTTGTCGTTGGAGTGTACCCCAACCAAGGGAGTGGTAGTAATCTTTACAGAAATATAGGACACAGTTTAAAATTGGATAATCAATTTGAGTTTAACTGAAAAAAAGTTAAATTGATACTAGTACACTTGAACACTATCGATGTTGAAGAAATGGTAATGAACAGATAACTCCCTTGTTTAGCTTACTCTTGGTTAAAAATCAAATTGCAATGACTATATTTATAACCAAGAAATATCTTATAAACTATAGAGCAACACCTTTCTCCCCTAAAATTAATTCATACTCATAATTAGTGTAGGCCAATATGTAATTTCGTGTTTTTTTTCTTTTTTTTTTCGTTAAAGGCAAAAACTTAATATATTTTAAAAGAAGATATAGTAATCTCAAAAAAAAAATAAGGGTGTCATTTTTTCCAATCCAAGATGGCGTCCAAAATGGCCGCTGTTAGGTACCATTTTTAGGTTTTTCCTAAATATCTCGAAAACTATCAACTTTTTGTATACTATACTAAATTAGGAAATTAAAGAAGATTAAATTTCCTACAAGAAAAGCATATGATGTAACTATTTCCGTTCAACCATTTACAAGATATAATAAATAACTTATTCAAATACTCCTTCCATAAGAAATACATGTAAATTTGTATGTATAATAAATGCTAAACGTGGCAAAACCTATCCACCTAAGGTCAATATAACCGATATTCTTGAAATATTGACAAATTTTCCAGCAATTAGACACTTTAATAATAAAAATTGGTCAAAAATTAAGGCGAGGGTGAGCACACAAAAAAGTTGTAATTATTTAAGAAACTATTACAAATAATGCGGTTTTTGTGAGATCACCAACACCTTCATTTTGGACTAATTTTTTATGATTAAAGTGTTTAATTGCTGGAAATTTTGTCAAGATTTAAAAACTATCAAATAAAAAACCAAATAAAAAAAATAAATAAATGAAATTACGTATGGACCTGTGTAGGCTCATTTGTAATGAAATAAAAATGCATGGATTTATTTAGTTAAAAGCAAAAGATTATTCTGTTAAAATATGATGTAACCATAAGGAAAAAATTAGGGCAACATTTTAATCTTATACTGTAATGCACTGAAAAACAAGATGCACAAAGAACATGATCTAAAAACTGAGAAAAAAAGGTGAAATTACTGCAAACCAGCGTACTTAGCCAAATCCCAACAGATTTTGACTAAAAAATAGATTAAATCATTACAGCTGATCAGATGATTTGTTTACATTTTCACTCCTGTCAAAACAAACTATTTTCTATTTATTGTAGCTGTGACATTAGGTCATTAGTGATTTTTCCTTTGTTATTGGTTGGCAGTGCGGGGAACCGGAGTTTTGCCAACGGGTATCAGGTAGATGGGGGGATGCCTTCGGCCACCTCTTGGTGCGGAGATTTGCCAACGGTGGTGGTTGGAGAAAGAGTGTGACGGAGGGAGGGAGAGCGATTGTCAGGGTTGTCTACGCTTGGCAGTTATGCGCTTGTCGCAGTGGGTTAGGTTAGGTTAGGTTAGGTTAGGTTAAATTCAATACATTTCCTTTCACAGTCAGAGGTGCATTACTCCATTACTTTGAACACAGCATCCTGCCTAGTTTGTCCACCCCTAGCGGAAGCCACCCTCACGGTCACGTGTAATCTCTCTCTCTCTCCCCCTCCCCCTCTCTTCCCCAACCCACAACCGTTGGCAAAACTCCGCAGTATGTGGAATTCATGGATGGGGACCCTTTCTACCTGATACCCGTTGGCAAAACTCCTACACTCGGCAGTGCGATCAGAACGAAGGTTGGTATTTCCTTGTGTTAGCTGCAGTCAGCTGCTTATTGTTGTTGTGATTTAAACAATATTTCTGTGGCTGTTTAGGTTAGTAAGAAAGTCAATTTTACAATTAACTTATTGTGTTTATTTTCGATTTTAACGATGAGTCGTTATAGTGTAATAATAAATAGTGTAAAAGCTTAGATTCCGTATATCGACCAACATGGCAGGGTTTTTATCTAACAAGAAACAAAAAACGGTGGAATTTGATCTTTGCATCATTTGTCAGCTGAGGAGTAAGCAAAAAGATTATACAAACTATGTGCGTCAACCTTCACTGTCTTCAATAGAGAAACTAATTTCATCAACCGATGTTCGCAGTGCATATTGGGAAACGGAGCTCTATGAATTAAAGGGTCGCCTAAATGGTTTTTCCGCCGACGAACTGCTTAAAAAAAGTGTTTCATACCACAAGACTTGTTATAAGGAAGTAACAAATAAACAAATGTTGACCGAGCAAAAAGAAGACAGGCTTAGCAAAAAGGCTAATATAGTAATTTAACAATCGTTTATGTTTGTACATTTATTTCCGATTCCAGTATAATTTAAATTACATGTGTGCTACAGAAGAAATTAAATTATTGCTAAACGGCGGCCATTTTGGACGCCATCTGGTATTCGAAAAAATCACGCCCTAATTTTTTCCTTATGTTTACATCATATTTTACTAGAATAATCTTTTGCTTTTAACTAAATAAATCCACGATTTTTTATTTAATTACAAATGAGCCTACACAGGTCCATACGTAATTTCATTTTTTTTTTTGTTTTTTATTTGACAATTTTTAAATCTTGACCAAATTTCCAGCAATTGAACACTTTAATCATAAAGATTAGTCCAAAATTAAGGCGTTGGCGGTCTCACAAAAACCGCATTATTTGCAATAGTTTCTTAAATAATTACAACTTTTTTGTGTGCTCACCCTCGCCTTAATTTTTGACCAATTTTTATTATTGAAGTGTCTAATTGCTGGAAAATTTGTCAATATTTCAAGAATATCGGTTATATTGACCTTAGGTGGTTAGGTTTTGCCACGTTTAGCATTTATTATACATACAAATTTACATGTATTTCTTATGGAAGGAGTATTTGAATAAGTTATTTATTATATCTTGTAAATGGTTGAACGGAAATAGTTACATCATACACTTTACTTGTAGGAAATTTAATCTTATTTAATTTCCTAATTTAGTATAGTATACAAAAAGTTGATAGTTTTCGAGATATTTAGGAAAAACCTAAAAATGGTACCTAACAGCGGCCATTTTGGACGCCATCTTGGATTGGAAAAAATGACACCCTAATTTTTTTTGGAGATTACTATATCTTCTTTCAAAATATATTAAGTTTTTGCCTTTAAAAAAAAAAAAAACACGAATCTTTATTTTATTACAAATGTGCCTGCACTAAATTCCTAATGTCAAAACACACCCATTTACTGATTTAAAATCTGTAGATGGATGCAAGAAGATTAACTGACCATCACACTTCATTAATAACCGTATATTAATGATTTTATGAAGTTTGGTTACAGCTTATGTGTATTTTTTATGGCAAAGAAATCCAATAATGTAAGGTGAAGCTGCTTAAGTGGGAGTTTGGGAAATGAGAGGAAATCCGTTTAACAGTTCAGATGGCTAGTCTGCCAGACACAATCACACTCAAAACCTCCCCTACTCTTCTGGAAGCACTAGTCACGCTCATCGAAGTTATATACTATACTTCGATGGTCACGCTTTATCATAACCAGACCGTTTGTCTCCATTGTCTCCACAAGGACACACCATTTCTAGCACGATCTAGACCGCAAACCGTTATGTCGTACTTTTTATCTAGGAGGTTGTTTTGTATGAAATGCGACCAGAATTCCCAGTTGTTACTCTCGTCATCTAACAGACCGATTCCACCGATATAAACCCAAGATGTTGAGTGGCTCCTATTCCAACGTGGACAACGGAAGAACGTTGTCAGGAACGTCCGCGTGGTAAATACAGTCGCGTAGATCGACTTAGCCACCAAGGGTAGGTACGACTGTAAACAGCCTTGACCTGACAATAACTGAGAAAATAGTCCACCTCACCATGCTGCCGCTCCACGCACAGTTGGACCAGGCGATCCATCTTCCTCGATTCTCCTGTTTCAATCTCCTTCCTTACATGGAAAGTGTGGGAGCGCTCTTCTGACCTTGCAAGAAAATTACCAATATAGCTTTGTCTTTGGCAAGTTGCCTTCCTCTCTGCTGCCAATACAGTTGATGTGTGTGGGGGATGGTGCGTGGTGCCCCTCATGCAGACTGCAGGCCACGCACTACTGCCGCCTTGTTGTCTGCTAGCCTCGTCACGCTGTATGTTTGTCTTTTTACAGTTGATGTGTGTGGGGGATGGTGCGTGGTGCCCCTCATGCAGACTGCAGGCCACGCACTACTGCCGCCTTGTCTGCTACCCTCATCACGCTGTACGTTTGTCTTTTTACAGTTGATGTGTGTGGGGGATGGTGCGTGGTGCCCCTCATGCAGACTGCAGGCCACGCACTACTGCCGCCTTGTCTGCTACCCTCATCACGCTGTATGTTTGTCTTTTTACAGTTGATGTGTGTGGGGGATGGTGCGTGGTGCCCCTCATGCAGACTGCAGGCCACGCACTACTGCCGCCTTGTTGTCTGCTAGCCTCGTCACGCTGTATGTTTGTCTTTTTACAGTTGATGTGTGTGGGGGATGGTGCGTGGTGCCCCTCATGCAGACTGCAGGCCACGCACTACTGCCGCCTTGTTGTCTGCTACCCTCGTCACGCTGTATGTTTGTCTTTTTACAGTTGATGTGTGTGGGGGATGGTGCGTGGTGCCCCTCATGCAGACTGCAGGCCACGCACTACTGCCGCCTTGTTGTCTGCTAGCCTCGTCACGCTGTTTCTAACGCTACATGTTACGCTCTATGACACAGCCGTGTACGAGCTGCAGGTTGCTTCTGGCTCTCCCCCACTCAGCTTCAACCAGGCTGTCACGTTTCCCACTCATGTCCATTTCCCACGAACGAGTCGCCGGTTACCTCAGGTGAGTTATTGTAACATAATAAGCTAAGTTAGAGATGAAGAGTAAAGCTCTCATCGCATGGGATTTCGTCCATCTCAGGTCATCACACTTACGAGAAAACTAACTACTGTATCTTTTACCTCTATTAAAATATTATAATATATTTCCAACAAATTATGTTTTCTTTTATGTTTTTTGTATGCAATTCAATTATTTTATTACAGTTATACAATTAAGCAGCCTTCTTTATCTTCAGTGAACACTACAAAAACTTGGGTTTTTGACACTTTCACGTTAATGATATTTTCCTAGGTAAATTAAGTAGTATTATAATATTATATTTGTCTACATTCATTGCACTTGTCACCTCATTTCACAGCTTATTCGATTGGTCGACGATTGAACGGATATTCACAATATTCCTCCATTTTGGATATGCTGTGTAGTTTGTGAACACTCCATGTTATGTATTTAACTGTGCACTCTTCAGGCAATCATCATTGGAGTCCGCAAGTGCGGGACACGAGCGCTGCTGGAGATGCTATTCCTACACCCCCGGGTACAGAAGGCCGCCGGAGAGGTCCACTTCTTCGACAGAGACGACAACTACAGCCGAGGTTTGGAGTGGTACCGCCACAAGATGCCGCATTCATTCAAGGACCAAGTCACCATCGAGAAAAGTCCTTCCTACTTCGTCACGCCCGAGGTAGGATACGCACTAACCGATTTTCACCTACTGTATTTACAATCCACAAACATAACTCAAAAAATTAAATAGGCGTAAGTTTATTAGGCAAGTTTATACGTAAGCTTATATATTTTATTAGATTACTAGCTGGCCCGACGGACGTCGTCCTGTCCTAATGTGGTTTTGTGTCAAATGCTCGTTTATTTTCAAGATGAACTCGTTCTCATTGCTCAATCACGTCCTGGTTGAAGTTCGTTCACTACGCTCACTCACCTTTAGGTTAGAGCTCGTTCACTGCGCTCACTTGCCTTCAGGTAAGTTTGTTCGCTACGCTAACTCGCCTCCAGGTTGAAGTTCGTTCGCTACGCTCACTCACCTTTTGGTTGCAAATTAGCTGTTGTCATAAATTTAAAAAAAATTTGCTGCACCCTGTTGGTAAACCTATCACTTTTTAATGCTATTGAACATCATATAATCAAACTGTTTAGTTGAACCAGCTGTTAAGATTCTTAAATTCCATTTAAATATGAGTTCTCATAAGGTTAACATGGGAAACTCCGCAGCCACTAGGGCGGAGCCCTTTTGACGGATCTGCACCAAACTTCATACAAACCATTCTTGAATAATGCTTAATAATGCCTGAAAGTTTCATTACAATCTGTCGAGCGGTTTCGGAGTCCATAAAGGACAAACAAACAAACAAACAAATATACAAACATACATTGGATTTTATATATATAGATACTAGCTGTTTGCCCGGGAATCTTGTAGTAAGTTGAAACCTTTATTCAGAACAGGAGTTGGTTTGCATATTTAGTGTGCATTTTTCCAGATATGCTGGCAAAACTATTACTGTATAGGAATACATATAAACCTTCGCAAATACAATATCTGACAATTTTAAAGCCAAAACGAATGCTTCGCAATTAAATGTCACCCGATCGTAATGATAAAAGGAATTGCTTTATAGATCTATGAGGCATAGCCCTAAGGTAGGCCTGTAATTGAAAGTTACTTTTAACACTGGTTAAAAGTAGTTAAAATACTACCTCAACCTCACTACTGCACACTTTACTTTACTACTTTACTTTCAAAAAAAGAGGTTGGCGGCCTCTTTTTACCTTGCATTTGCCCGTTCACATAGACTAAGCGCCAGTGCGTGGAACGTTTACAGCAAAGCAAGGCGGTACAGTACAAAGGTGAACTGTACTGATAAATTATAGTGGCAGTGACCAGGATCCGAACCCACGACATCGCTACCTTGGGCCCGAAGTCCGCGACGCTACCGTCTGAGCCACCGACTCACTAATTGACTTTATTCGGGTTGAAATTTTCATTAACAAAGGCGCTCTTGTCTTTTCCACGAAACACTGAGAAATAAGGGCATTAATGTGTTACCAACAGACATACACACACAAATAAAAAATTGAATTAGGGGATTCGCTACGCTTTAACCAAAGCAAATAAAAAAACAAAATAATTATTTGAAAGTTTTGATGGTGTCATCAAATTGTATGATAATCGTTTTTAGGCCTAATCAAACTGTAAAATTTGTGTAAATCCGTTGGTAAATATATAAATAATTAAATAAATACACAGTCCACAAAAAATTTATTCGTTAACAACGCCAAGCTTTAAAAATTCATGATGGTTTGCTAAAAAATCTTTCAATAATGTTTTATCATTTCATAGCATAAACTAACATTTTGGAGTCCAGACAGAAAACGCAAAAATTATACAGTAGGACATCAATTAAATTTAATAAGAAATAAGGTGCAGCACTAACGATAACTATAGTTGTAAATAGTGATGTGTTTGTACGTAATGATTCGTAATGATGATACGTAATGATTGCTACCACCGGTTCTAAGGAAAAGTAGCAGACCAAAAACCAACGTTTACATTTAAGAAAAGAACTATAGTACTTACAACCAATTCAAACTGTCCTTCTAATCAAACTGTATTATAGGTGTTAATCCGTGGGCAAATAAATAAATACACAGGCCACAAAACATGTAACATGTAACGTTAACAATGTAAAGCTTTAAACACTCACTATGGTTTGCTAAAAAAAAACTGTCACTTAATGTGGTGCAGTACCAAAGTTATTAATATCCCTTGGTTTTTTTTAGTTTTCGAAAATCAAAGTTATTTCCCATTAATAGCATTATTTGTAAGCAACTTTTAATGTTAACATATTAATGACAGTTTGAAGAAACCACCTTTATCCAAACAAAGGTTTCTTATTTAAAAGATTACGTAATCTCTAAACGATAATCGGTATATATCTAGCAAATATTTGGAGGAAATGTGACAAAAAACGCACAAATCTGGGGTTTTGGACGTTTGTAGTTTTACTTCTTAAGTAGGAAAAGTACCGATATCGTTGTCGAAATGTAAGCACTATAAGTAGAAACCAAAGTGACACATTGGAAAAGCGAGTTTAGCTACACCTGTAAGTTAAACCTCTGTTACGATCACAGCGAAATCAGAAAGATCTTCCAAGATCGCAACAACATCCACGATCACCCACTGCAGTTGTGATTTTTTACTTTGCATTTTACACAACTGTCCTTGAAGCGCCGTCAATGAGTGAAAACCTTTTTTGTAAGCTATTGGTGACGATGATTAAAAAAATGTAAGTTTCCCAACACTATACAACACTGATTCGCAGTATTTTCCCCGGTTATCAAAACTTAAGAACAATCGTTGCACTTGCGATTAATTAAACCGGTTAAGTAAGGCACAACGTTTTTAATCTCACTTGGTTTGGATGTGCTAACAAAACTTGATCGGAAATGGTTGCGGTATTTGTAAACTTTTAATGTAAACATATCAGTGACAGCTAGAAGTGAGAACTAATCCAAACAGCTGATCGTTATTTCATAAAAGTAAAAGTAAACATTGGGATAAAATTTGACAAAAATCTAACAAAATTGTGTTTTTGATGGTTCGTTATTTTGTTTTAAAAGAAGCGAGGCCATGTTTTTATAGCCAAAGACACTCTCACCATTCCAGTAAATACAGAAAAATGATTAGAACCTTGATCGGTACTCTAGTTTTCTAGGAGTAGGCCGCGTAAAATGACATTTTGGCGTTACAGACGGAACCACAGAATGGACAAACAGACAGACACAGACAGAAATTGAGATAAGACTCGTTTCGGCTTTCTTAGGCTATGAAACGTAAAAATAACCAAAAACTGCATGATTCTAAGCAATGTACAGACAAAACTGTAATTTTATTTATATAGATAGATATATATATATGGAGAGAGAGAGATTATGACAGTTTAGGCCCAATAACAGAATTCAGTTTGAAAATTATTACACCAATCATCAAATATACTTTGCTTTCCTTGTCAACCTCTTATGCCACAGGATGTAAACCATGATTTTTAAGATCATTTTTAACATAATTTTATTTAAGTAGTCACTACAAGAAGTGGTACTAATCAGTTTGTTTTAATAAGTGTTATATTTTGTTTTTTTATATCAAAATAAAATGGTTATACCAACATCCGATCAATCCTTTAACATTTCATATGCAAGGTGTATGAACCAGTGAATGTCCGTTAAAGCTTGGTTTTCCACGTGTATCTGTCATGGAAAAATATGCTTTTTAGCTACAGTGTTATATTTGTATTCTCCTGTACGTCCTAATGATTTACCTAAGTATTATATTCTAACAAAGTTTTGAAAATACAAATTGTTACAAATAAATCATTGCACCGGTGAATTGCCGCATATTATGGTCTGTATAGTATTTTTAAATGTTATCCCCCCTGCCCCCCCCCCACAATAATCTATTGGCCATTGGCATTCAAACAAATACACTAATAGGACATATCACGCACAAAACACATGTTAAAACTTAACCATATATTAAAAGAATGGCAGACTCGTTCGGATGAAACATTCTTGGAAAGGACATCACTTGACAACGTAGGAATAGGTGAAATATGATATTGTAATTCTGACCACGTCTTTGTTCAAATGTTCACGTGAAGCTACCTTATAATAGTTAAGTTTATATCTTTAAAGACTATTCAGGATATCTTTACGAAATTTGGTATACAAGTTTAAAAAGTAATGAGCTATTTGAACAATTCATTTAAAATATGATTTCGTTTCAAAATGGCTGTCTTTTAGTTTTATATCTTAATTTACTCAATACCCCCACCGCAGAAAACCTGCAGACTAAGCGAATTTCAACTTGTCTTATTACATTTTTAGATTATGTATTCGGACATCCATTATGTGTTTGGATTATGACTTAGTTCAAAATGTTCGATCCATCTAGGGGATTACGTTAAAATTGAAACTGTCTAATGCTTGAGATAGATCGAAAAAACATTGCGTGGATATAGTATTACTTTAAACCATGGATTGTGATATTTTGGGGTTTCCCGTGCTATAATTCACTGTACAATGGAAGCAAGCGTAAGGAAAGGTAAATTGCAAGTACATGTAGTTAATAACATGTATTTAACTTCAATTTGTATGTATTCTTTTATATATCTTGTATAACACTTATTACCTGGAGAATACAAAATACCCCCGCCGCAGCAAACCTGCAAACTAGCGAATTTCAACTTGTCTGATTACATTTTTACTAAAATATTTCCATAAATAAGACATATTTATTCCCTATTTAAATAACATTAGATTAAACGAGTGATTAGGTTTGCTGCTACGGGAAAGGTAAAACGTGTTTTTGAGGATACGTCAATAGTATAAGATGAAATAAATAAATTTGCCAAATTTTATCAAAATATATCCATAAACAAGTAAACTACAACAACTTTCATTTTCTCCATAAGAATAACATGGGAATTTTAAATTAGACTATTTTTGAATTTTCTCTGTGACCGTTAGGCATACAACAGCGCTTCAATATACTAAATTATTTCTTTCTTCTTTTTTAAGCTCTACTAAACGGGTTGAAAAGAAATTGCAAAATTTTTGGTTTTTAGGGTCTAAAATGGGAAAACCCCATTTTACCCCATAAAACCCCCATAAACCCCCGTTCCCATGGTCCGATTATGCTGGATCACGAACTCGTTCGAATAAACGTAGGTTTACACGTTTGTACCAAATTTCATCAAAATCGGATCATTTTTGCTCGAGTTATCACGCTAACGGTACACACACATATATATATGAATTTGAACGGATGGTGTTTTTGGGCTCTAGGGACCTCAAAATGAAAAATTATATCGGTCCCGGGTCCAGGTCTTACCATGAGTACTACGGTAATAGCTTATTCCCTATATGGGAAATTCGCTAAAAATGGCTTATTTTATGAAAATACGTCAAGAATACTATTTAGCACTTGGAATGTCCGATCAAAACACCAAATTCAAAATGATCGAATAATAAACAGCTAATGAGGCAAATCCTGACTGCTTGGTTTGTTCTTACTTCGCCTGGCCTGTTCAACTAAAAGTATTCATATCTACCACAGTGGTAACTTAAGGTTTTTTTATACGTAACGGTCGTTCACTTGGGGATGGTCATTCTCTGGTGCACTCACATTATTCAAAAGTACGTGTACATGTTTCACGTCGTTTGATTACCAAAGATACCGGGCTAAAATACTTGGTTCAAACAGCAATACAAAAACTCTAAAACGATCAATCAATAAAATATATTATATTTTAGGTCTTTAACTGTTGCTGATTTCTTTTTAATAAAATATAGCATTTCCTTATAGCTTGTCTTATATCTCAGCGTGTATTTTATTGTTTAGTGTTTACACCTCAGGCACGATTGCTCAGATTTCTGGTTGAAGCACTCTTTGTTGGTCCTTGTTTGCAACATTACAAACACACATCCCAATCAGTCACGGTCCAACAAGTCAGGGCACAACGATTCTTGGAAGACATTTATTTACTATTCAAATCAGGCCGATGCCGTAGTAAGCTACTAAGAAGAACTGAAATACAATATCGATGTAAATGAAGGGAACTAGACATGCAAAGTGTACACATTTAGACACAAAAGATTGGATATTTGTCGGATTGTCGTAGTAGGAGGTATATTCTACAGGTAGTCCATCAGTCAGTTTGCATGTGGTGACGTCATCGGCCGGCTACGCCTCAGAAAGAACAACATCTAGCCATAGTTTGATGAATTATGTGCTGCTCAACATAATCTCTGACTAAAGGTTCGCGAGATGCCAACAGCCTACTTTGACTTTGTGAATCTAGCAATTATTTAAAGAGAAAACATTCAGTTGCGTCGTTCAATTTGCTACACGACTTGATCATTCGTTCGTCTATGAGTACGTTTCAGTTATTGAATACGTTTTAGGACGTGAAAACAAGTGATTTTCATACATTGTCTTGATTTATTAAAAAGATTAAACTTTCATAGTTTGACTTTAACTTTGTTGGACTGTAAATAACAGTATAAATCGTTTATCTAAATCATAAAATATTACATTTTGAGGTTGTTTTCCCGTTTATGCACATTTTTACTTTCTGTTATTAGAGATCAAAATTGCGGTAACACCGGGTATCACTGTTGAGTATGGACATTGAAGCCATTAGGATGGTGGGCGTATTAAAAAAACGACAGTTTGCGTTGTGCAGTCTGTTATAGTTACTACGTTGCTTAGCGTTAGTTGACAAAACTTTTAAACTACTAATCGCTCTCATAGACTATCCTTTCTTATTTCAAGACATATATTGCAGGTGCCAGAACGGATTCGCGCTATGAATGCGAGTGTGAAGCTGCTGCTGATAGTCCGTGAGCCGGTGACCAGAGCTATTTCCGACTACACTCAACTTCGCAGCCACGCGGCCACTCCCTCTAGCAGCAGCAGCAGCAGCAGTGGGCAGTCGCAGTCGCAGTCGCACAGGAGCTTCGAGCAACTGGCCATCAAACCTGATGGTAGCGTCAACGCTGCCTACAAGCCGCTAGCAGTATCTCTCTACCACACATTCACACATCGCTGGCTAGAGGTGTGTGTTACATTCCCCCTAGGAGTTCAGTATGTGGCGCGCTTATTTTGGTGAATTTGTAAGGTTTTTTTTATTTGTATAAAATTAGTAAGTAGAGATAACCTTATTGAATCGTACATTTATTTTGTTCGTGATAGTCAGTAGAATTCAAAGATAATAATAAAAAATACCCCCGCCGCAGCAAACCTGACGCCTAAGCGAATTTCCATTTGGCTGAATTGATTTTCAATTGATCTATTTAAATAACATTAGGTTTAACGAGTACCTAGGTTTGCTGCTACAAGGAAACTAATAAAGTGTGTGTTTTAAGTAAAATAATTATTGCTTAGTATAAAATGAATATATTTGCCAAGTTTGATCAAAAGATATCCATAAACAAGCAAACTACAACATTTTACAATATTCTCCATAAGAATAACATGGGAATTTTAAATTTACCATTTTTTTAGTTTTCTCCGTAACCAATAACCGTACAAAAACACTTTGATATACTGAATTGTTTGTTTTTTTTGAGCTCTTTAAGAAGGTTTAGAGAAAAATTGGGAAATTTTGTGTTTTGAGGGTCAAAAGTGAGAAAAACCAATTTTTACCCCATAAAACCCCCCATAAAACCCTGTTCCCATGGTCAGATCATGCTGGATCGCGAACTCATTCAAGTTTATCCCGCCTTACACCTTCAAACCAAATTTCATCAATATCGGATAAAAATTACTCAAGTTATCGTGTTCACGGACACACACATATATATATATATATATATATATATACATATATAAAAATTTGAACGAGTGCTGTTTTTGGCCTCTGGGGACATCAAAATGAAAAAGTAAATCGGTCCCGGGCCTAAGTCTTACCATGAGACCTACGGTAATAGCTACTTCCCTATAGGGAAATTCGCTAAAACCAATTTTAGAACGGTGGATTTAGGAAAAAATAAAAGAACCAATATATATATATTTTATTTTATTTCAAAAGCAAACAACTTTTCACTTGTAACGTAAATTTTTATTGCACAGTTCAAAATATGCAAGTTGTAGAGAATTTACTTCTCTACAAAGATAATATCATAATATTTACAAATGAATTATTTTTGTAGATTTATTAGCCATAATAAGGAAAAATTGGAAAACGTCAATTACTACAACTACAGTTGGATTTTTTTAGCTAGAAGCGGTTTAGGTGTGGTGGAATATCTTTGAAGATGAACCTATTTGGTGTAGTGCGATCATGTGTTCATACGTGTCAAAATTTTAGGTTTAATCAAAACATTCTAGATCGATGCACTAACCTCACGTAAAAATTGGCTATTTACAAACATTTTTCATCAGCTGTTGGAATGTATTATGAGTATGCACTCATTGTGACTTTTGGTTGTTGTTGGGGGCATCTTGGAGATGACAAAAACCGAGCAATGTAGAGCTGGTAAGACCTCAAAGAATCTACAGCCTAGGACCTCTGCTGCTTTATTGAACACGTCTTTTATCTATGTTTTTCTTATATGTATATTGTATTTAAAAACTGAATTTTTATTGTACTTTTTTTGTAAGCGGATTAAGTTATTAATACAATGTCGTTTAAAACATGTTTCTATCGTGTCTAGTTCACGAGATATGAGCGATGTTCTAGAATGTGCCTCAGCAAGTTGTGCACCTGCTGGGAGGGCCACAACATCGGTTTATGTCATCTCCAAGATGCCCCCATCAAAAGTCAAAAGAGTTACACTTTCAGTGCATACTCAACTCCCTATAGATGCTGGACATGAAAGCTCGCGACCTCCTTGTTGCTGTGGAATCACTTGTCTTTGCTAGAAACGCCTGCTATGATTTTTTGAAATTACTCATCTTTTACGATTTCACAACGAAACATGTCGCGAGTTAGCGCGTTATTTTAATTCAAATGTAACTCATGATTAGATCGATATACTTATGTTATAAGGTTCGTTCATACAGGGTGAGGCAGTGAAAGCACCCCGATTTTCTTTCGTTGTCACATTATGAGGAAAGCAACAATGAATGAACAGCTGTGCCTATAATATCAAGCACACTATGCCATTTTAGTAAACATTGTGCCTGAGGATTGTAACACTGAGATTTTGATGGAGGAACCTATTTTTAAAATAGTGATTCATGTACCCAGAGATTGTTTGGACCACATTCTATACTTGGTCAATATTGTGCTGTTCCAGATTGGAAAACAATAGGGAACTGGGTACAATTATTTAGGTTAACAGCTTTAACTTATTAACCATACATGTAGTTGGTAGGTGCCGGACAACTCTTTGTAAACCAGCAAATGTTGAAAGTGTGTGAGTCGCAGTAACTCAAAGTCCAAAGAGGTTTGCCAGAATGCTTTCGTTGTTGGAAGCTTTACGTTGGCTCTTTGCTTTCTTTGGGGTTCTCCCTATAAGCTACTTGAAATTTAAGGCTTTTCAAAGTTGCCGTAGAGGTTTTCTTGAATTGCCCAATAAACTAAAGTGATTCCTGAAGAAATGCTGGAAGGAGTATTCAATGGCATTTTCAAGGGACTGATAAGGAATGTCAAGTAGGACAAGGATGTCAATTGAAGGGGTTTATTTCCAAGATATAGAAAATGGCTTTGTCAAAATTAAATGGCAAAAGATAAGCTGTGTATTCATGTGCTACTTATATGTATAGGGTAAATTACCTTGTTTTAAAATAGCATTAAATTTGTACTATTTATAAATTGGGACGCTTTCATTGCCTCACCATGTATAATCAAATGAAACTTCAGAATCTCATATTTCCATTGGTATAAGTGTTATGTCATTTCACCAACTAACTGTGTGTAATATGCAACGGAAAACACGTTACGCTGATCGACAAATTTTGTTGCCCGCCGCTCCAGCAACACATTTTATATCGACATTTTTTTCGATTCGCCACTCCAAGGGTTTCTTCTTGGGTTATTGTTAAAAGCCTTAGGTAATAGTTTCTTGTTATGTACTTTTTATGTAACCAAATTGTCCGCCATGTGTTCTGAACACGTATTTGTCACTTTTGAATTGAATGGTTCATTCAACCTAAACCGATTTATTGAATGATTATAAACCTAAAGATTATTTGGATTTTTCTTGAATAATTTTGTTCTATGACCAATAAAAGGGTTAAAATGTTAGATATCGCGTAGATCATGGTACACGCCTTCTAACTTGTATGTCTATCTAACTTTTGAATATGTTTGCCAAGGTGTTCCCGCGCCACCAGCTTCTAGTTGTGAATGGTGACCATCTGATAGAAGATCCTGTCTCCCAACTACAGCGGATAGAGAGGTTCCTGGGGCTGGAACCGCGGATCACAAGACACAACTTCTACTTCAATCACACCAAGGGGTTCTTCTGCTTGAGGAACGAAACAGCGGATAAGTGTTTGAGAGAGTCGAAGGGTCGGCGACACCCGAGGGTGGACCCAGCGGTCATCTCCAAGTTGAGGAGGTTCTTCAGCGAACACAACCAGAAGTTCTACGACCTTGTGGGAGAGGACCTGGGGTGGCCAGAGGAATAATAATCATCATATTTATAGCAGAGCCATTCCAGTCAAATCGCTTACATTACATTTTTCGTTTTAAAATTATAATAGACGTATCAATAAAAAATAAACTAAGTATTCAAAAATAAAATTTCAACACATAGATTTTCTATGGTGAAATTGTATTTGCAGTATTTTGCCTGATACTGTACTTGCTATAGTATTTAGAACTCTTGGAGAGCGAGTTTAAAACACATTATCCAGCTAAGTTAAATATTTTACCAATTAATTACAGAGAGATCAAACTGTTTTAACAATAATTGAGATGACTATGTATATGGTAATACATTTTGTTAGCAGTAGTTCAGTTCGACTGGAATGGCTCTAATAAATAAGCACAAATATTGAAAATTTGAATTATTGAGAAACAAATACATATCACAGAAACACAGATACATATCATGTAAAATATTTTAGACCGGCCATTTTTATACTTGGAGCCAGACGGGAGACATTAGTATTCACCTCTAGGGAAGCGCTACAGTCGCAAGTATAAGCTTTGTGTTCTAAGAGCGGTTGCGTCAGCTAGTGTATCAATTACTTAGATTTAAGAACCGAAACATATCAACAGCCTTGGCGGTGTCACAACGAAATAATATATTTTCATACCGTACTTTTAATATGTAACTTAAAGGATAACAGTAAACTTAAAAGGTGTTATACCCGGATAAATTACACCGAAACGTTTTAGGATTGAGGAGCACAAATGAAAGTAAAAGTATCTTCCGTAGTAGCGTTAGTCCCTATTTTCAAATAAGGTTATGAATTCCAATAACTTTTACTGGATGTATTAGTTATACAAATTAAACTTGTTGTAAAATATGATTCCACCCGCACTCGTCCCGAAATGTTTATAAACCTTTCGAAAATGTTTGTTCTGAAAACAAACTCGTAAAACCCGAGGCCGTGGAGAGCAGATAATATCGGTTGTTCTGTATCAACCAGATCGAGGAACAAATATAAAATTTTAAATATGTAACAAATAAAATAAAAATGTTTTTTATAAGATATATAACATATTTTTCTTTGCCCTGATTAAATACAAAAACTTCTAATTTTCCACAACAAATTCAGTCTAAAAATTCAATTAACCAAAATTTTACCTTTACGAGTGACATAAAAACAGTCTCATATGAGTATTTTAATATATCCACACATGTTTTTACTAAAACATGTATGCATTCATTTGTTTAAAATTTTACTTGCCTTATAATGTAATAGAATCAATGAGAGATAAGGACAAATTTAACATAGTTGCTTGAAACATAACTATCGCTCCAGAAACCCATTCGATTTGTAGCTTTAGGAAGTACTGTGAAACTATTAAGGCTTGGAATTAAATTTACATTTATCTGTCTCTAATTGACTGGTAATTTCTCGTTTGGAATTATGAAAAAGAGTCGATTTTATATCTTACTCATATTGTGTAATATAGTGGATAGATTTCTGCATCTCTCAATGTTTTTGTAAATAAGAGTTCTAGATGTTGTGTGTTTTTAAATGCGGAGGAGCAATAATGGTTCCAGGAATCTCTCCAAACAGCAATAAAAACAACACCAATTATATATTCCAATGTAGGTGCATTAACATATTTACATAAATATGTCGTAGCTTATATTACCATGTTTTAACTTTTACCCCTAACAATTGTACATTTTGTGATAGCGATAATTTGTGCTATTAACACTTAGTTTTTTTTTTCTGAACTTCAAATTAAAAATGCAATTGCATTTATTTTATTGGGCATTTCCTACGATTATATTTTTGATTCGTCGTCATTAACGGGATGATGCAATATAATATTAAACCCGTTTTGAAACCAATTATATATTTAGTTAAGCAACAGTTTTACACGATTATGGAGAGATTTCCTAGCCAAACTCCTGTCTGGCTCCTTTAGTCCTAGATCATGTTGGTCTGTGCCTTAAGTAGCGTAGTAGGTCACTCCACATTGGAAGTTGTTGATGCATTGTTGAGTCTTAGATCATTTACGTGTGAAAGATAAATGTGTGACAGGGTTATTATGTTTTGAGTTATTAGCAGCTACTCATCTAACGTTAAGTTTGGAGTAGTGGCAGTTGTTGACATTGTCATGCACCAAAAAGCGTTGTTTGCTTTAGAAGTTTAAATAAATTGTTTATTGTCGTTTTTTATGATTGTATTACTCGCCAAAATCAAGGGTTGTAAACCATAAAGATTTTTCATAATGGGCGAAATTAGAGAATAAGAAACAGGAACAGCTTTCGAAGCTTGAAATGTTAAAACTGTGCTATAACTTTATTTCATTTTGTATCGTTTAAAGTAGGCATACCTTATCCCACCAAAATCCCCCCGAATTAAAGGCACATAAATAATGTTAGGAATATTATAATCAACTTCTACAATACATTGCGTAAGATCGACTTTGTCCAAGAGATTTATTTTATTATTTTAAAACCTCAAGTATGTTATTGTGCTAACTAATTAATAATATTTTTTAATTATGTACTATTAGTATTTATTGTATCTTTAAACTCAACATAACCTGAAAATAAATCATTTACAAGAGGAAGAAAAAGTACATTAAAAGTATGCGTTTGGCTCTTAATAAACAGAAGATAAAACGACAGACATGAGTGCATAATGTATTACACAGAAGTGTGTATTATACAGAATGTAAACAATAACCTATTATACAACATACCTTCCCTACATAGCCATTGAGACTTGTGAAGTAGCAGACTGAACATACATATCACTAATGTTAGCAAATGTTATATAAGAACTAATTATTGATTGTTGGATTGTTTATAACTTTATGTACTGGTACCTGAAAAGTTGAAAATTTAGCGGAAATTATATTTTTACGTACTTTGCATAACTTTTTCCAACACAACTCAAATACAGTATATTACGACAGAATAGCTATATTTAAACATAGGTAATAATTGTACATTTACCTACTTGAAAACTATTTGGGTATAATAATATTGATTCGTCTTTCCTTCAACTAAACATGCTCTCAGAAATCGTGTCCACGTTATAAACTATGCATTCCGGCACAGACAAGATAGATTTTCGCGTTATAAACTAATCATTCCGGCACATACAAGATAGATTTTCGCGTTATAAACTAAGCATTCCGGCACAGACAAGATAGATTTTCGCGTTATAAACTAAGCATTCCGGCACATACAAGATAGATTTTCGCGTTATAAACTAATCATTCCGGCACAGACAAGATAGATTTTTGCGTTATAAACTAATCATTCCGGCACAGACAAGATAGATTTTCGCGTTATAAACTAAGCATTCCGGCACAGACAAGATAGATTTTCAATTGCAATAGCTCTTAACATTCCGTGACAAAAATTAGTTTAAATTATAACCTGATTTCGATACGGAATTCATAAAAACTCGTATTGAAAATCGTATTTATTTTTATAATCGATCCAATTCATTGCAAAACATTATTTGTAATAATTTATTATCAGTTTTCGCAAAGTCCATTCGCAAATTTAAGTCTTATGTGGCTTTGCCAAAACTAATTTATATGTTTTCATGGTTCTTGAAGTTTTAACACATACCCATCATGTTTACCATATCAGTATTCTTTAAGTTATTATTTATTTTAAAATGTATTGAATTAAATAGATTTTCATTTTAGGAATGAAAATTCATAAATAGGAAATCAAAATCTGTACTAAGTTATCACATATATCATTATTCAAAAGTAGTTATATTTTAAAGTTTAATACAATAAAACTATAGCATAAATTAGACTAGTTAATATTGTTACTGAAAATTCAACCGTTAGTCAGCTAAAACGTTATAAATGTATCTCCATTGTTTTTAACAATGTTTGGTTGTTCAAGAATTAAGGAAATGTCATTGTAAATATACTTAACACCGTATGTTTTAATTGTTCATTTCAGTTATATTTACACTGAAAGATATGCAATAATCTATCGCAATAAATGATTGATTTTGAGTATATACTTAGAATGTATATTACTTATAGTGATGGCTTATACCACATAATATAGATTTTCTTTGCTTATACCAATCTTACAACATGAATGAACATAATGTGTTCACATTAATTTGTACTTAGGATATTTAAATATAAAAATCTAGTAAAAATACCACTCAGTGCTCTCCATAACAATCAGAGTTTCGATGCTAAATAGTTCATTTTTGAAGCTATAGGGTGAGTGAATGAACACCCCCAGGGAATGACCGTTTCGTATAAAAAACATCATATTAAACATTTTGTTTTGTCCAGTCTATCACAAACGCTCTTTAAAGTAACTCTAAAGTCTGATAAGAATCTACCTTATCACTGGTTCAAATATAAAAGGCGCTTATCCTTTTGTAACACAAACAAGACTAACTGTTCCAACCAGTTCATCTTCAAGCTCGCCACTATAGCATCTCGTAAAAACAAGTTTTGTAGTATTTGTCATGATTTTTTGGATGGAAAATGCAATATATTATATAATAATTGGCTTTAAACATTTTACTTGCTTTAGGTACAATAACGTTGTACTCATTTTACGATAAAAACCATAAACAACGATTATTTAAACATCCGGTCATTTACTGGATCACAACTTTGGGCGTAACTAGGAAATAACTTGTTTCGGCAATTAACTAGATTTGGATCAATTTTCTTTCAAAGTTTTGGAAGCGATGCTTTGTTAGGAAACCCAAATGATCATCAGAAATCACGTGAATGTGACGTTGTGTAGCCGCAATGTGACTGCGGGTTATGGGCTGCGGTTATTTACTTGAAATGTTTTCTTTTACTATATACGTTCACCTTCAACGTGAGAATCTTGGAAGAGTTGTTGGCAAAAAGGAGGGGGTTTAATACAATTTCAAATTGTTAAATAATGGGCAGGGATTATTGAATTGCATGAATATGATGCATAAACACTCTGTTTGAACATAATACAGTAAGTTTGATCATTATGAAGTTCAGGAGAATATGGGCAATATGTTTAAACTATTAACTATAACACAGTAGCTTAATGTCCACTTTCCCATGTCGGATACAAGTGGAAACTCAAGCTAAAAAAGTCATTCACTGGTGCTCCTACCATATCACTATTCACTATTCAGGGTAATATAAAATAAACTATAGATAAGGTATACAAAATACAATATTCATTATGAACCCTTTTTCTAACTGGAAAGAATTTTTCAGGAAAGACAGGAAGAAATCAGATAGGTTTGCTAGTTTCCCATAAAAAGCACACTATAATTATAATCCTCAGCTACTACTATATACCTCACTATCAGTTACCATTAGTTCAAAGTATTGAAAGAGAAAATTAGCCTATATTTATGTTTGTCTTAGTTATATGTCTGTGATCTGTTTTTAAGATGTATACATGCACCAGCAATACTATACATTTTATATGGTACCTATTTAGCAGTTAATACGCTATATTTAAAACGTGGAATGCTATTTTTGTTGCTATAGAGAGGTCCATATTCCTGTTCCTATACAAAAACACATGTTTTAAATAGTTTTTTTAATACAACGCCAATCAACAACACCACATGTGTGTTGCACATTGAATGCTATGAGGTGGAAGTCTTTTATTGTAATAGGCAGATCACTAGCAACACATTCACGAGAAGATCAATCCAAATCATAGTATATGTACTACGAATGACAGTAACAGTCTAACAAAATGGTCATCGTATGTACAACAGTGACAGGTATTTAGACTATACATATATCAATGTTTTTAATCTATTTAATTGTTATTGACCTAAGATCTTGGATACTTGTACCGTTTGTTTTGATCTGCCTATGTTGGTAGTGCAAGACTTTTTGTATGAATCGGTATGAATGTTATGTGAATATTTCAATAGTAGTAATACAACTTGTTGTTCTGTACATTCCGCTTATGTCTTTTGATGCTCTATAGAAGTGTTTGTATAGTGTTTCTAGACTGATTGAAACGAAACATATCATTCGTGTCTTCTAAATGAGGAATTAAATTTGTCATTTGACACTATCCCTCCTTCCTTCGCCCCTATCCTCAGAATCCAATATCACTTTTTTGAATTCAGACCTTTTACAAGACACATCTGTGAATGATTTATAAACCACTTGTGTTACAATCCAATTCCAGGTCCTGAACAATAAACTAACGAATATGCCATATTGTATCAAAACAGAAAAAAGAATCGTTGCCAGCTTGTCGATATCAAATGAAATTATTTATTTTTGTTGGATATTTTCTATTTTCTATTTGGCCGTAAATGCCACAGTTGACGATTAAGACTGAGTTGAAAGGAACATTGTTACTGTGATCAATACATTTGTTTCCCAGCAGGGCACATTCTCCCTTCCCAACAATCCATTCAACTCTTTACATTGTAACAAGGCCTAATCATGTTTGTTACATTCTTCTCATAAGATGTTTTCCTTCTCTTTATCTCTCTATATCTCTCTTGTCTCTGTAAATTAATCCTTAATAAACGCCTCTTGGCTCATAATACTTATGTTTTTCTTCCTTCCCTAGGTGTTTTATCTCGTTACCTGAAAAAAACTACGAACGTTATATAGTATAACGTATATAGTTCACTTTAAATTAGTTATTGGAACTGGAACTCCTTCTTAGAATTGTTCTCTGATCTGGGAAAATATTGTCTGTTTCTGTGTCTTTGAGGTCTATGCATATTAAGTTATAAGTTTTAGGTGATCAGTGATTGAAAGACACGACTGATGTAATGTATCTTGTTAGCTGAGGTAGAAAATCTCATCTCATCTCATCCCTGCATTACTACTGGTACCTCTTGATCTGCCTATGTTGGTAGTGCAAGACTTATTGTATGAATCAAATAATAAAGTTAAACTGATATCCATCACTTAAAGTTATCAGTCTTGAACAAGGTATTATCGTTATTACAAGTTTGAAATATGTATAATTCCTTTTTTAAGTGTGAATTTAACAGACTTAAAAGCATCAGAAAAGTGTTTCATCACTAGGGCCTAAAGTGAGTCTTTTCGATCCGAGCTCAATCTTTACGTTCCAGGCAAGCCGAGGTCGGAACATTTTCCGTGTTATTTATTTTTTTATATATAAAAAAAAATATTAGTTTAACTTTACCAGTGTATTTTTACCCCTTGCTTATTAGCGAGGGGTGAAAATACACTTTTTGACCATGTGATGAACTATTTTTCGTCATATTATTTGCCATTATTAGAACAAGCTATGTTACAAAACTAAAATAGTTTTAATTTAAAAATAACCTCTCAAAACTAATTCTCATTTGTTAATTTGCTAACGGAAACAAGCAGCTGTTTGGTAAGAGATTTAATCGTTTCGTCTAATACGACTTTGTTAGTGTATTCGTGGTGTACATTATACCATTGATATGTAGAGCTATTTAGAATAAGGCTAGATACAATCAATTATACAACCGATACATACTTTTGATACAATATGTGATTGTTTACAAATTATTGAAATTACAACCGAGTTGACAACAGCTGATTTTTACTCACTTGAAGCTAAAATAGTAGTTTACGCAACGATTGCGTTAAGTGAGTCTTTACGACACGAGTAGAAAATTTAAGGCACGAGCCTTGGCGAGTGCCTTAAAAACTTCTACGAGTGTCGTAAAGACTATTAACGCGAGTTGCGTACACTACTTTACCTACGACCGTTTTTTAATTACTATCAAGCTGGATTTAATTACTAACAATAACTACTGATAACTTTTTAGAGAGGTTATGTTTTCGTGTATTGTCATTGCCACTGAAAGTGATGCAACGACTTGTTGTATAATCAGCTGATGTTCTGTAATTACTTGTTTGTTAAACTTCGTTAAATATTACATTGCTAGCAGCATTCTTACCATAAATAATATTGTATCAGGTACAATTCGGCAAATATTTCATTTATTTTTGGACTTCCACCAACTTAATTAAGAATACGCGAGTATCAACATGAACAAGTCGGATCAACAATTAAATTGGTCAACTGATCAGCTGATCAGCTGATTACTTGACGTTCGAAACATTACAATTTTAATTCTTTTCTCTCAATACTTGAACCTCATTGGTCCGTTACCTGTGTGGATATGAGAAAACTATGCGGATATGAAATGAAACTATGCGGATATGAAAGTAAACAGCTGTAAAGTGAAACTTTTCAATTCTAAGAACTGGACTGAAATGGCTACTTTAAAAAACGGTCGTAGGTAAACTCATTTTCATCATACCATGATGTTTTTAGCCGTTTTACAAACGTTTATTGGAGACCGAAAGTTACGTATTGCTGTATATGCCAGCTGTCATCGTCATTATTTGGGGACCGAGCAGCTTTTTACATCCCTATGGCCGAAAATCAGCTGTTCGCTTACTTTCCTAAAACATTAATGCATATTAAATACACAGTGTCCATAGCATTGCAATTAATAGGCTTGTTTTATTGTCACCTCTGCCTAGCAACTATTTATTTATTATTTTTGCTGATTCCTCATATTATTTCTTCACATACCGTACAACCCGTGTACAACCCTAAAGTTGCAGTTGCGTTGACTGTTAGTGTGCATTACTATTGTGATGAATAGTGGTAATAGGGTATAGTGTGGTGAAAAATTGCGTTCTTATACACCGAAATGGTTTTGCAGCTCTCTAAAAAAATTTAGTTTTTAATTCGTGTGCCAAGTATCTTTGCTGCACTAAAAAAATATCCTCGGTCTCCTGAGGTTCGTGTACAAACTTTTCCCTTGAATCTTGAATGCAGTCATTTCCCACACATAGCCGTTGAGCACTAATTAAATCTATCTATATTTTATTTAATACGCTACATGGAATGTTTTTTCCCGGTAAGTTTTTTTGTTTTATGCCTATCTCAACATATTATACATCAAAACACGCGTCTTGGTGTACAGATTTACAACCTGTCTTTGGATTTTATATTCAGGCCATAAAACTTGAAAGAAACGCAAAAATCTATACAAATGGATTAATGACAATAACAAATCTTTGATTTATAATATTAGCCGGTTTTGCAGTAGAATTAATGAACTTATTTTCTTATTCTAGGTTTATACTTCGTTGCAAAGCCCAAAGCCTCAAGCTTACAATAAATGTCGATTTAAAGTATTTACGGAATATTGCTCTTGTAAATATGTAGAAGGCATATTTAATCAATTCAAAGTTAATTATTGGGATCGAAACTCGTCGGGAAAGCCAACAAACAAATTGCCATTGCGCTATTTCACTCAGTTGAGTGGAAAGAATTTATGAGTGTTTGTTCGCGCCATCAAAGTGTACTGTCAACATGGCAGCAACACAAATATCGCATCTGAGTATTAGCGTTGACGTGCGTAAAAGGGGTGAGGTTCATAACTCCAAGTTTTCATAACTCCAAGTACTTTTAAATACAACATTTCATAACTCCAAGTAAAATTATGTCCAAGTAAATTAAAACCAAAATATCATAAGACCAAGTTTCATAACTCCAAGCGTTCATAACTCCAAGATTCATAAGTCCAAGTTAAAATAAAACCAAGTAAATTAAAATACAAAATTTCATAACTCCAAACGTACAGATTTGCAAGGACCACAAGTCCAAGTTTCATAACTCCAAGGGTTCATAACACCAAGTTTCATAACTCCAAGTGACACTGGGTACAGTCCGTGCAGGAAGCGATAACGTACGCACACACACGCACCCATTACACACACACATGCTGGAAGAGAGTTTCCGATGTTGGCGAGATTATTCGAAGTGGTGCGTTCCCTGTCGCTTTGCACGTTCGTCTAAATTGTAATACAAATAGTGAGAGGATGAAATTTACATATTTAAATTCTGCGTAAACTGATGTTTAATACTATATAAATACAATTTAGTTCGTGCAGATGATTAATGTTTAATAATGGAAAATATGAAAAGGTTGTTCAATGTAAACATGAAAAAGTAAGTGAGCGAGGATTTTTTTTATTTTTTGGTCAGATGAAAACTTTCAGCGAGAAAAGTATAGATAGTAAGATGTTCTTCAATTTTTGTTCCAAACATTTTTTCGTAAGACTTTTAGTTTGTCCAATAATCGACTTAGATGACCACCACGAGGTATGAATGAATTAGTTTACGCGCACAGTATTTTAGCAATTGCCGTCTTCCAACACCAATATTAAGGAAATACAGTATTAGTTCACGTTTTAAAATTTCTAAACTATGAAAAATATTTAGTCTTAACTTCTTCAGCTCTATGTACGAAATTTCGAATTTTTTTCTACATAATATTCGTGGTGCACAACGCAAATAAGTCGTACTGCCTTTTTTCCAATATTTTTCATCTCCTATTTTCGGAAAAAATTTAAACAGTATTAATCCAGGTTAAGGTTTCATCTTGTATCATTCATTTCTAAATATAAAATTTGATTATAGTTACAATTACTTGTTCCCTCATAAATCTTTATTCCGTAACAAATATGAGAGTGTATGTTAGCAAAGTAAATTGTACGCAAAATGTCTGTAGTGCATAATGGGTTTAATAAAAAAATACCATATTTAAAATTTTAAAAATACTATCTAGATTTGTATGATCCAAACAAGCGGATATAATCTATAGATAGGTCTAAACATTTGGATTTCGAGACTAAATTATCATAGAAATATGTTTTTGAGTAAATACATCTATACCTAATACCAGATTGTTTTATTTGAGTTAAATAGAAGGTATTTATCATTTAGGTATTATTTAAGTACCTTAATGAGTTAAGTACTTTAATATAAGAATTGATGTCGTCCAGTGGTCAAAACTCGACCACAATCCAAATAAAATATGAACTTATCTATATTCATCCCACGCTGAAAATCAAACATGTGATGATTGTGTACCAGTCTTCAATTTGTTTTGATTTTCTGTATATTTATCGTTTTTATTGCGTCACCAGAATTTTAACTCATAATCCAAATGTTAGTTTTTTTGTTTGTGTTAAATTCGTTTTCGTACTTATTTTTCATCATTTTTTTAATTTATTAAGTTGTTCTGTTTATCTACAGGAAAATATGTTTCTAACAGTATGCGTAGATTTTCCTTGCGATGCACACGAGCTGAGAAAAGGGCCTTAAAGAAACATATTTGCCTATTAATATATAGATATAGCTAATACTTGTCATACCAATAAGGAGAATAAATAAGCAGACACAAGAAGGATCTTATTCAAGAAACATAATTTAATGTAGGCTATTCTAATAGCCAGTGAAATTTATTTTTGTAAACCTCACAAGAGAGATAACAGTAATAATAATCGAAAGTATATAGTAAAATTAGTGGGATTCTGTTCACTGCCGCAAACATTTTATCATTACTTTTCACCTTCGTACTGTAGTACTGGCTCATCCCTTGCTTTGCTGGATACGTTACACGCACAGATCTGTAGTCTTATGTGGACGGGCAAATGTTAAACATTTTTAACAGAGACCACACACCTCTTTGTTTCCCTAGTTGGAACACATAATTCTTCATCCAAACTCTATGGTTCTTGAGAGTCGCTTAATTGTATACACAACATATGTAAGCAATATCAGTTGTGTGTTTTTAGCTAATTTCCCATATAGGGAATAAGCTATTACCGTAGTACTCATGTAAGACCTGGACCCGGACCGAATTAATTTTCGTTTTGAGATCCCTAGAGGCCAAAAACACCATCCGTTCCTTTTTTGTTAAATTTTTTAGACAAATTAAAATATGATATTATGGAGCTATTTATGTTGCAAGCGCTAATAAGTGGATGATACTTAAATAATTTGTAGAGAACGGATTGTCCAATTAATTTGTTTGTGGCGTCAAACCATATGTTTATGAGAGTAAGGAATCAGTTACCAATACTAACTAGTGTACATTTTGCTCGAATTCGAGCAATTGCAAGGTACTGGTATTACAGAAATTATTTCAAAAACAATAACAGTAATATTTACAATGAGTTTAAAAGAGTCAACTCAAAGCTTACTGGTGTGTATCATATGGAGATACTCACGATGTACATAACAGTAATCAACATTTCCTGTAAATATTTTATCATATTTCATAACCTGTTATTGCTTTTTAATGTTTTCTACAATCATTTCCTGACTTGGCCGCATAAGGTTGTCCATGTTTATCTTCGTTATTGATAAACCTATGCATGCTACCACCCTTGTCGCCAGCAGTAAGTTAACAAATTTCATTCATTCTTTAATAAGGATAGAATCTGTTTTCATCACCATAAGGACTTCCTGTTGTCTGTCACAATTTTATTTGTTCAATTGGTGTATTTTTTGTTTAGTTGCAATAACGTTAATTATATTTACCTGAGAAAATGCAAAGTTAAAGACCTTCTGTTGTTCAGATGATTTTTGTTTCCCTTAGCATTATATGAATAATAATTAAAAGCCTTCAGGTAAGGGGCTCTTGGATATTTTCATAGGCTATTATTAAAATTGCTTGACTTTTATGAAAACATAGATTAATGTCATTGACGTACCAGATTTATTTGGCTTTAGAGGGCTTTCCTCTGCAATGATCACAAAGTTAAGTCCATGTTTCCTAATAAAAGTTGTAGCACTTCGGCTAACATCCTCGTTCATAGTTTGTAGGAATCTGAATCTTGTAGGTGTTCTTCATTATACAGGCTAATGACGATAGTTAATTCTTTAAAAAAATATTATCTCTATTTCTTCTACTAGGGGGCGTTTTATGACTTTTAATGTTTCAATAATTTGCAAATGGGTTCTTTCAAATTTTTTAAAGATTTAATTTTTTTAGGACGCTTTTCTTTGAAATGCAGCTTAAATATTGACAGCAATTAAATTATACAGCTGATCAAAATTTAAACAATGATCTTCATAAGGATAACATGGGAACCTTCAAAGCCACTGGGGTAGAGCCCAAGGGACTTTTTCAAATCCAGTTCAAGGCCAGTTTGCAAATCTACGCGACACGCTCTTTCCAATGATACGTCAATGGATAAAATCGGTTAAGAAATGACGGAGGAGTTCAACCGACAAACTTAGTGTTCCCGTATTAATTATATAGATATACGTATCACGTTTCGTTTAGCCTACAGGTAGGAAATGTCGCTCATTACGAAAATATTTATTAATTCTTTTAATAATGACTCTAGAGAAGAGTTAGAAAATTAAAAGGTGTAGAACAATACAGCTAACATTTATGCATCTTATTTATGTGAACCAAATGGACCATTGACATTGGATACTGCAAGTAAATTTCTCATTTTTGTGAAGCTGGCGTACTATTGATTTAGGATACTGCTACTGCAAATAGACATTTAATTTATGAGAACCAGATGAAACATATATACTTTGAAGTAGACAATACATTTAATTGAACCAGACTTGTAATTGACTTTGAATAACGAAATTAGACATTCCATTCATTTGAAACAAAATATATACTAATGAGATTGGGTACTGCAAGTATACATTTCATTTACGAGAAACATATGTAACATTGACTTTAGAAATTATTTGATTATTATGTCTGCTATCTGCTCAATGTTGCAAGCAGACAACTGCATTGTACACTTAGTGTAAATTACCTGAAATGTAAAGTTAAAACTGTGAAACACAGGAACGTTTCTCGTCCAAAGTCCCCGTGCGATCTCTAGTGTTCACTTGGTAATACATGTGTATTACAAAGTATAGGGTGTTTTCAACTCCCCACGTGAGTGTTAACGTTTCGTAAAAAGTACAAGTTCCTATATAAGGTTTTTTTTTTTTTTAGGGAGAGGAGGGAAAATGCTTTTACGCACACAGGTATCCAGCCTGTAGTGTGAGACTCCTGAAATTATCAGACTACTCACTAAAAAACCCCCTCTACTCTGTTGGACACAGACCTGGAATTGTTTGTCACATTACTTCAAGTCAGGCCAACATGTGACCTAAGTCCTCAGGGCTCGCACCGTTTCTGGCATTTTGATTCTTTATGACCTACACCGCATCCCGGTCAAGGTCGATCTTCTTGGCGCGGAGGATACCCTGGATATAATGTGACACACAGGTCCAATTGTCCTCACCCTCCGTCATAATCGGTATGACCGTGTCCACCGACAGCAGTCCTATTAACTGTTGAGCCTCCAGGCGAGGCCTTTCCCAGCGCTGGCAGTGGAAAAATGTATGTTCCACGTCATCGAGAATGCCTGGGCAGTATATGCAGTCGGGAGACACGGCTTTGCCCATCCTGAACAGGTACGACCGGAAAAAGCCGTGTCCCGTCAGAAATTGGGTGAGGTAAAAGTCCACCTCTCCGTACCGCCGATCAACCCAAGGTTGGACTTGCTGTATCAGTCGCCTGGTCCAGAGTCCCCGTGTCTCCTGTTCCCAGCCCTCCTGCCACAGCTGGTAGGTGCGGGTGCGTTCCTCTGTTCGTGCCTCGTCCTCCCCACGGCGCCGGTAAATTGCCTTTCTCTCCGCCGCCAAAAGTTTGACGGGGATGACTCCAGCAATCACCAGGACGGCGGGCTCGGACACTGTTCGGTAGGCAGATGCTACCCTCAGTGCTGCCTGACGCTGCACTCGGGCGAGCCGCATCCTGTATGCCTCCTTATTTAGTGCGTCTGCCCACACCTCCACACCGTACAAGAGTACGGACTGGACCGAAGACATTAACAGCCTTCTACGACTGGACCGAGGCCCTCCGACATTGGCCATCAACCGGCTAAGAGAAGAAACCACCCTAACGGCCTTGTCCGCTGTTCGGAAGATCTGATCCCGCCAGCTAAGCTTGCTGTCTACCATGACCCCAAGATACTTGGCAGAACGAACAGTTTGAACCTCGACGGCTCCCACCCTCAGCGGCACGATGGTGTCAATCCGTTTTTTTGTCAAAATCACGATCTCGGTTTTGCTCAGAGCAAGTGAGAGACCGTGGTCTGCCATCCATGCGTTTATGGTACGCATAACTCGGTTTAGCTTTAGCTGAGCCAGCTCAACGCTACGTGCTGCTATCAAAGCTGCAACGTCGTCTGCGTACCCAACCAAGACCGTTTCCTCAGGCATTTCAGACCTCAGAAGGCTGTCATAAGCGACGTTCCAGAGGTCTGGGCCGAGTATGGAACCTTGGGCAGCACCAGAAGTGACACTCATCGTCCGCGGGCCCTCCGCAGTGTCATACGTTAGGAGGCGAAACCGGAGATAATCCTCTATGATGCGCATGAGGTATGCCGGCACGTGGAAGGTGTTCTCCAGAGCGTCCAGCATATCGCACCACCTCGCCGAATTAAATGCATTTCGCACATCGAGCGTTACGAGCAGCACAACCCTGCGAGAGTAGTGGTTAAAATCCTCAGCTCTCATCACTGCTTGCTTCACCTCCTCAATCGCATCAATCGTTGATCGCCCCGTCCTGAATCCATACTGACGAGGGGAGAGGTCCCCCGCAGCGACAACGGCTGAATTCAGCCGGGAACGGATCAATTTCTCGAGGACTTTGCCAGCCGTATCCAACATACACAGAGGTCTGTAAGAGGATGGCAGATCTGGGTCTCCCTTGCCCTTCCCAACAAGCACAAGCCTAGCTGTCTTCCAGCACAAGGGGAAAACCCCTTCGACCAGGCAGGCGTTGTACATGCTCAAAAGGATCAAGGGGTTGGTAGTCAAAACCTTCTTGAGGACTTCACCGGGTACCCCATCAGGACCAGGAGCCTTGTTGTTCTTCAGGGATATGACGGCCGCCACCAGCTCTTCAGGGCTGAAAAGTGGGACGTGGTCCACCCTTCCGAAATCCCGCAGTGGTCGCAACGCGTGAGCCGGGAAAAGGGACTCGACTATCCTCTCCATAGTGACCCTGTCCAAAACGGAAGGTGGAGAGCGGGTTCCAAGTTTCTTGGTTACAAGTTTGTAACCCAGGCCCCACGGGTTGGGATCAACATCGTCCCTTAATTTATCCCAGCAACTGCGTTTACTCCGATTGATGGCTCGACGAAGATACCTCCTAGCCGCCCTATAAGCATCCGACTTACGCCGTCTGTCTAGGGGTTCTCTAGCCCTGGTAGCAAGTCTTCTGGCTCTCAATGCTGCTCGTCGCAATTCCGCAATCTCGGCAGTCCACCAGTACACCGGTATCTCTTGCGAGGCATAGATTCATCGCAGGCCGAGGCAATCAGTTCCATCGTGGATGCAACTAACGCCTCTGCGTGAGGCACGCCAGTTGCGGGATGAATATCCGGCGTTCTTCGTAGGATGGCTCCATTGAATTTTGCCACGTCCAGTTTTTTAATGTTCCATCGAACGGGCACTTGACGAAACGCTGCCACTTGTCTCTGATGACCATCCAGGACGTCAAAAATTATGTACTGGTGGTCACTGCCCGTGTAATCCTCCAGGACTCTCCAGGATCTGATCCTTGGCAAAAGGGACTCAGATGCAAGGGTAATGTCTGGGATCGTCCCCCGCATCCCAGGGCGGCGGAAAGTTGGCGTGTTGCCCTCATTCAGTACAACGAGTCCGGCTCTGGCAGCAAAGTCCAGAATATACTTGCCCCGGGAGTTGGTGAGGGTCATTACCCACTCGACAGCCCTAGCTTTAAAATCACCACCCACGACGACGTGTCCGGTGGTATCGCGCACGCTCTCTTCTAGGCGGTCTATCTTCTCACGAAAGTCACGGATGGCCTCGTTGGGAGTAAGGTAGACACTGAAGTAAGTGACATCCCTGCACCGAACCCAAACGAAACCTCGGCCATTCGCGTGACCCCGCACTTGTACTTTAGCTGCATTACGAGCCCAGAATGCAGCAGTACCAAGACTATCAGGGAACCATAAAGATGGGTCCCTATCTCGATACTGGTACTGTTCGCTGATTAAGAGAGCGTCGACATCGTGTTCGAGGGCAAACTGACAAAGAAGTGCGTCAGCCGTCCTGGATCGCTCCAGATTGCACTGAAGGATTCTTATCTTCGTGGGAGAGATTTCGCTTGCTGTAGAGCAGTTTTAAATACACTACACTGCCCAGACCCAGCTATATGCTTTACGTGTTTGTCAGCGAGCCCATTTTCTTTGCAAAGGAAACAGGACTCGACTCTGCAGTCCTTACGGATGTGACCAACCTCCCCGCACCGAAGGCAGTTCTTGCTTCGGTCGGGTCCCTTGCAGTTTCGGGAGGAATGGCCGAAACAGAGGCATTTAAAACACCTCTTCACTTCCACTCTCCGTCTGAGCCTGCAGTTGACCCAGCCGACTCTCAGATGCTGGAGTGCCAGCACTCTAGTGGCAAGCGCGTCCGCCATTTCGGCGATTGCTATCCGCTGCTGACTCCTATTGGGTTTTGTGAGCCAAACCCTTAGGATGGCCGTTTGCCCGGCAAGCTCGGGTACAGCTTTCTTCAGGGCCTCAACAACGTCACTCTCCGTTGACACACAATCAATGTCTCGAACCTCAATTGATGTCTTGGGCTCAAGAGCACGGACGGTGCCCTGGCCTTCAACAGCTGCCTTCAGTTCGGCAGTAAAAGCAGCCTTGTCTTTCGACTTACCCAGTTCAAGGAGAACGTCCCCTTCCCGGGTTTGTCTAATCGACCGTACAACCGTATCGGTCTGCTCCGGTTTAGCTTTGGCCTTTATTACGCCCAAGACCTCGGCAAAAGATCTCCCCCCTGAGGGTTTGACAAGGATTGCCTCCGTCCTGGGCTTTTTGGGCCGCGACCTTTTCGGAGCAGGGACCGAGCCGGGCCCAGTTTGGGCCACGCCGGTTGGCTGTGCCTTCACTGCCTCATTCTTCATGGAGGCGACCTCCGCCCTACCTATATAAGGTAATGTTGTTCTTTTTGCGAAAGACTCTAAAAGTAATGAAAGGACATTTTTTATTTACATTTATTTCGATAACAAACAAGTGTTTTTGACATATAAATAAATTTGTTTGCACAAAACTTGTGTGTATTACGATCCCCCCCTAAAAAATGTTTTTTTAGTAGTACATTTTAGGGGAAAATAATACCTTTACCATTCACAGACATAATATAATCTTTTAAAAATTATATATTTTCCGGGTAGTACATATGCTAGTTATTCAATATCAAACAGTTCAATGACAAAATACATATTTTTTAATACAACAAATGGTTTATATGCAAAACTTGACCAAATACACACACAAATTGCAGTTGGTAAAAGAAATATATTATTTACATTGTATAACTTAAAATAAATAACTCTTTCATATTGGAAACAGTATACAGTAAAATAAAACCAAGCCCATGGGGCGTAGCCCAAGGGAAATATGAAAATTAAATGATATTATATTGCATTGTCTTCCATTTGTGGGCTATGTTTCAAGTTTCAAGTCTCTAGCTCATCGGAAAGTTAGTATAAAATTGATTGCAAAATTTGTACCGGACAAGAAAGCGAGCTAATAAAAACGTTTTAATAAACTTAAATAACAACAAAAAAGGTTATTTACCAATTATTAGTGTTAATACAATTATAACAAATATGTAATAACGGGGTGTCAAAAACACCCCACGCGAGTACATACGTTAGTAAAACCCGCGCGAGTAGTTAAAGGTTAAAGTACCTTTAGCATAGAAGTAAAAAGTATAGCAATTAATTAATCTGTAAGTATATAACAAAATTACATAATCGTTTGACAGGCGACGGTAGGTATATAGATACAATAATGCGGCATCGGCTGCTGACAGTATTACAGCGGAGCGGACAGCGCAGGAACTTGTGGCGCTGACTGTACTACACATTCCACTTGGAGATATGAGACTCCACTCAACTTTTGGAGTTATGACACTCTGGTTTAATTTTTACTTGGACTTATGAAACTTTGGAGTTATGATCACTTGGACTTATGAAACTTTGGAGTTATGATCACTTGCACTTATATTTTTCTTGGAGTAATGAAATTATCCCTTTTCGGGTACTTGTAGTTGTGAAACTATGGATTAAATATAATTTGGAGTTATGATCTCTTGGACTTATGAAACTTTGGAGTTATGATCACTTGGAGTTTTGAAACCTTGGAGTTATGAGATGACCCCCGTAAAAGTATGAAACCAATAACTTAGAGGCGTTCGATGTTGGTTGGCTGATATTCATATATCAGCTTTTAACAGACTTTAGCCATCATCAACTTGCTGTATTGTTACAGCATTAATTGAGCGGAGCGAGCGAAGCTCTTACGTCGACTTTAATGTATTTCGTAATACGCAAACTCCTCCTTGACTGCTGAAGCAATCATTTTACAAATTTTGCATGGCGATAAAGACCATATCGGTGAGTGTCAACATCAATATGGTGTTGACAAATTCTGTAAGGAATCCGCGCCACAGGCTCCCAAAGTTTAATGTAATCCTTATGGAAGCAGTAGGCCTATTTGACACAAAAACAAAGACATAAGATCAGCTGTTAACTAAAAGGAATGATTGTAACTGTTATCACGAAGAACATAAACTGTATGGATCATAAACATAAACGAATGTTGTCACTAGCTCGAACCAATAATAACATAAGTATCTGGTTTGGACGTTTTTGAAAGTTTAATTTAAAAACAATAATGCAAACATGTTTGCTTTCGAGCTAGTGACGTGATTTAATTATGATCAATACTGTTTCTGTTCTAATATTCGTGCTGCGTGATTAATTATTGGTTTTAGTTGACAAGAGTATTTATATAAGTGTTCTATTAGTTTTACCTTGCAAACTAAACATTTTTATGGCTGTAGACCAAAAAGTCAGAAGTTAAAAATGATATTGTAAATACAAGGGAATCAACTTAATGGTGACGGTAGTGATCCCGTATTCACTGGTTGTTCTGCTTCTAATGTTAATGGCTAAACATTTCATTCAGCACTAAGATTAAACATACGAAATTTTTAGTAATTTAAAACATAATTAACACAACTGAATTTATTGAACTCACAAATCAGACTAAACTAAAAAGTAAACAAAACATAATAATGTAAACAGTCATCTGACAGATGTTATAAATAAACTAAAGGAATTGCGAGATTGTTGCATCACTGATGGTCGCATTGGTTGTACGTCTGGTGTTCTCATCATAATAGGATTGCGAACCATTGATGGTGGTTGCACTGGAGTGATATGATGTGCTTCTGGTGTTCTCATTTGAATGGGATTCTGGAGTAGTGGGTGGAATGGTGGGTTTACTGGAGATTCAGGATTATCCAAGTGTGAGTTAGTAGATGCTTTTGATGTTTCTGAGCGAGGTCTCAATTGGTCAATATGACGTCGTATTTCAATGCCTTCTTTTGTTATCAAATGGTAGCTCAGTGGCCCGGTTATTCTAGTGACTTTAGCAGGAATCCACTTTGGTCCTCGCTGATTATAGTTTCTTGCAAATACGGAGTCATTTTCTTTAAATTTCCTCTGAGGTGACTGTTGGTAATCGTGAAGCGCTTTATCCAAGATTTTCTCTTCTTTGTCACTTGAAGAATAATCTGGGTGAACTCTGTCTAAGATGGTTCTAATACGCCTTCCGAACAGCAGTTCACTCGGTGACATATTAGTAGAACAATTTGGCGTTATATGAGATGATATTAGGAACTGAGCCAATCGTTTTTGCCAATCTCCTTGAAGTATTCGTCGCAAAGAATTTTTTGTCGTTTGGACCATCCTTTCTGCCTGACCATTCGATGACGGATGGTATGGTGCAACCACGACGTGGCGGATGCCATTGCTTTCATTAAACGATCGAAATTCTTGTGAAGTGAAAGCCGACCCGTTATCAGATACTATTGTGTCTGGAACACCATGTGTTGCAAAAAGGCTTCTGAGGACCTTTATAGTTGATCTTGAATCTGTAGAAGGCACCAAAACTACTTCTAACCATTTGCTGAAAGAATCGACAACAATCAAAAACAACTTGTTTTGGAAGGGCCCAGCGAAATCTATGTGGAGACGAGACCAGGGTTGTTTCGTTTTCTCCCAGGGAAGAACTGTTGCTCTTGGAGGGTTGTGACGACTTTGTTGACATGCTTGACAAGAATTCACTATGTTTTCTATGTCTTGATCAAGTTTTGGCCACCAGAAATAGCTTCGAGCCAACGCCTTTGTTCGAACAATGCCCTCATGTCCCATGTGTAGAAGCTTCAGAGCTTGTTGCCTGAGAGTGGATGGAATGATCACCCTAGTTCCCCAAAGTAAACATTGTTTGTATTGAGAAATTGAATTTTGACGAGAAATGAAAGGCGTAAGGTTGATATCTGAGTTATGAGTTGGCCAACCACGTTGAGTCCATAATAGTACTTTAGATAGAAGTGGATCCTTTTCTGTTTCTTTTGCTATTATATTAGCGGTGATTGGTTTAACCTCATCGGATTCAATGTATAGCACGTCATTCAAGACTTCATTTATCTCTTGATCAACAACATTGGAGGAACATGGAAGACGACTCAAACCATCAGCATTCGGAATAGAAATCCCCGGTTTGTATACAAGATCAAAGTCATATCCATTTAAAAGGATACTCCAGCGAATCATTCGAGGTGACAGTGTGTTTGGTGTTTGTTTATCCACAGTGAAAAGACCCAGAAGTGGCTTATGATCTGTTCTAATTTCAAAATGCCTCCCATATAAGTAATTGTGGAATTTTTTAACCCCTCCAATGATGGAAAGTGCTTCCCTATCTACTTGAGCATATCTTCGTTCTGACTGACTCATTGTCCTGGAATAAAACGCAATTGGAACAAAACAACTCAATACGTCCAGGAAGTTAACTGCACTAAAGTACCGGAACTGTATACCACTGTCAACATAAATAATCACAAAGTTCTAATGGAAGTTGATACTGGTGCAGGTGTTTCTATCATAGGAGGAGAACTATGGAATACAATTTCTCATAAAAACTGTAAACTACAACCTTCTCCTTGGAAACTTAAGGATTACAGTGGTAAACCTGTAAGTGTTTTAGGTCAGACTAATGTTTATGTGAAATACGGTAAGTTCAATGGTTTCCTTCCGTTAGTCATAACTGAAGGTAATAGAAATAGTTTATTGGGGCGTAATTGGCTAAAAAGTCTTAACATTGAAGTAAACGGAGTACTTTCAATCAACTGTCATGAATCTGAAGTTCTTAATAAAGCTCAGCTGGATGTTCAACATCTGAAAAGTGAATTTTCCGATGTATTTTCAAATTCTTTAGGGTGCTATAAAGGACCTCCGATCGAACTGAAAATTGACCAGAATTATAACCCAATTCACTTAAGAGCGCGCCCTTTACCTTATGCATTGCAGGCCCCAGTAGAAGAAGAGCTGAATAAGTTAGTTAATCAGGGAGTGTTAGAACCTGTTCAGGTATCGGATTGGGCCACACCAATTGTTGTTTCCGTAAAAAGCAATGGTAAAATACGAATTTGCGGTGATTATAAGGCAACGTTAAACAAAACATAATAATGTAAACAGTCATCTGACAGATGTTATAAATAAAACATATGGACTTATTTCTTGATACATAACAAAATTTTAACTAACTACAAGGAGAAAATAAACTAAATCCTCAGATTTTGTTCGAAAACGTCCGTGTCGTAGTTTGCGATGAAATAGCTATGTGTAGACAGAGGCAGAGGCTACTAGCAATAATCGACAAACACTTATCCTACGTCAAGTGAAACCTGACAACCAAGATTAGGCCTAAGTGTGTGATGGATTAAATAAACCTACCACGTCATAGTTTGCTGTGTAGAATGTTACATTTAATTTCTTTGGACCAGCTGTCTGAAATTGTGAAATATGCAATTTGGCAGTTCTTCTTGTTTACACTGAAATATGAAAGCAAATGTAAACATTGTGAGTGTTCTTATTGCAGCCATGGAGACCAATCAATATTTACTTTTAAAATCCTCACCTCTGAACTTTTAAAAACAAGGGGCAAAGCCCACGGTCAGTACCGAAGTGTGAATTAGTCCTATTACCATTCTTGGTACTGTAGCTATATTATTGTAAAATTTTAAGCCCAGTTGGTTTTTTAGTTTCTTGCATATGTACCTACTAAGTAAGGTTTGCTGCTACATTGAAGGTAATAAAGTTTGTTTTTAATCTATATATTTAATACGCTAGGCATATTTTTGTCATAACTGTTTTGGAGTGGTGGTGCTACCGATCACCATGTCCAAGGTGTCGTTAGAAAGGTCTTAGCTTGTAGTTTTGCCATCAAACAAAATAACTTTGGAATTCCATCAGGGCTCTTCCCCAGTGGCCTTCAAAGTTCCCATGTTATTGTTAGGGAGAAAATGTTTGTTTACATTTGAACAGATGAATTTTTGACTTTTTTGTTGTATGACTTCCCTGTCTGATGTTCTTTGAAGCGGCAAGAAATTGATCTCCCGGTTAGTCAAATATAAAGTATAGAACAGACTTAACAATTAATTCGGTATATTCGTGATTTCTCATATTTGTTCATTTGTTGCCGATTGTTGTTGGGAATTTTTTGTATCAAACCAAATGAGTGATTTCTTAGTCTCTGTAATTAATTTTGGATTTTGATTTGTTAAACGGTTCATTAATTTGAAGTGTTTCTAATCACATATCTTACAAATTTCGAGAAGAAAAAGGTGGTTGTAAATAATACAGTATTTAGTAGCGAAATTTATTTGTTTATTTTTAAAATGTATATTTTAGTCCGTAATTAATTTAGAATGTTGATACAATATAGTACTTAATTGCCTAAAGTTTGTATAAAAATAGTAATATAAAATTAACGAAACTATATTAACGAAACACACAAAACAAAACACCATTAGTTTTTAATAAATTACTAACAATACTACAAGAAAGTTGCGCCTGAGTGAACGTGAGCGCAACAATGGGCGAGTCCACCGCACTTACCGGTGTCACTGGTGAACACAATGTTACTTGTATGGGCAAATCAACGAAATCTCAGTTAACAACAATCATAACTTCTCGTCAATTATCTAACCAAAGTCATTGGTAAAATTTGTGGTGAATTTCCAACAATTATCGATGGGCGGTAAATCCATCGTTCCTGTACAAAACGCCTTTTGTAAATTAATCTCTTTAAAATTATACACAATAGTGTAACGGATCAACATATGTTTTAGAAATGTTTCCTTTTTTTGTTTTTAGGCCTATCATAAACCAAACGAACCAAAACTGAAGTAATCTAACTTAACCTAATTGCCGCAGCGCAGTGTAAAAAGTCTTCTTAAAAGATCGTATAACTTAAAAAAGATAAAAACGATAGACCTATTATCGTATTAGATATCCTAAACATGATTAACAATCCAATTATGTATATCTAACTTATGTGTCTAACTGCCACAAACTGTTCCCACACTCTGCACTGCTCGCCTTTATCTCTTCCTTCACCACTTTCCCTCTCTTCCCATAGCATTTTATGTACTTTAGGTTTTAGGGTTTTTTTTTATTTACTCGACACAATTGCTGTTTTTATGGTAAAAACCATGTTAGAATTCTATTCATAATCAAGCATGTACCCGGTGGTATAAGCAAAAGTTAATTTAAATTTCTCATTTTTCGTGTATTATGTTTAATATTGAAACCAGTATGCCCGCACCACATTCCATGAGTTTATTTAATTTTAATTTACTTTCAAAAAACTATTTCTAATTATTAAATAATACAAATTACGTTTATTTAATGGCGAATGAACAAAGATATCAGAAGACATAATATGATTGGCCTAAAATACTTCTTCTGTCAAAGTTGATCGATAGAAACAACATATTGATGATAAACATTCACTAGAAATACTGGTCTGCGGAGGTGAAAAGGGTAAGCGAATAACAAGTTATAATAACATAGTGAAATGCATCAAAGTTGGCCTTAGTCAAGACCCAGTGGACCACCATGAGACGGGACCTCCGACTTGAACGCTGTTATAGCGAGAACATGTGTCAAGTCAAGTCATCGGCAAAGTGGCTTTATTCAGTACCTACCTAACTAACGAGATCTCTATTTATTTATAAACCACTCCATAGCCTGTGAAATTTTCATAGCTAGTTGGAAAAGATTACCTTACCGGTCTATAGGTTATTATCAATACCGCAAATAGATCACGTAGAAGTCAATGGTAGTTAATGCACATGGTAGATCAGCATAATATGTGGCACGGCGTACGTATAATTTTACTTTCGTGCAATTAAGATTGATAATGTCCGTTCAAACCCGTTACAGACATTCTTTTATTACTGCCAAAGAGTACAAAGAGTGTTCAATTCATTGATAGTACAAGGGGACCGAACATTGCTCGTGGTGTTTAATTTTTAGTAGACGTTAAAAAATAAACATAGGCCTACATATGTAAAATGACCTTGATATTATAAAATGCAGTTTAAAATATGTAGTAAAACAAATTATATAGCCTAATAATATTTTATCATGCTCACGTATTATTGGTGTATTTGCATAACATTTAGTGCACGACCCTGTCGTTACAAGTCATTGAAAACCATTGTAGGACTAAATAAAATCACATTACTAACACATTAATAAATTACCAAAATGAAGATTTTTTGCATTTAAAAATAGTATCATTACAGTATTGTCATTTTTTAAAGCCGATGTATAAGGCTTTATATTACAATAGTCAATCTCATATATTTTATAGTTTATTGGCCTAATTGACATCGGGTTTCCTCAAACCATTAATTTACTTTAATTAATTGATTAATTAATTGCCACTAGACACATCGTACAGTTTTGTGTTGGGCCTAAGAAGATTTTATGTTTATTCAAAACGAATGAACTCCACAGATTAATCTACTCTTATAAATATTTAAAGTATTCAAATAAAAACTGTGAAATAGTGAAATAATGAAATAATGAAATGAGTTTATTCCTTCAAAACAAATAAATATAAAATCATACATTCTCTTGGAACTATGTGGAACTAAGTTGCCACATTATCCAGTAATCATCGTGCAAACGTAAAACAAAAAAATTAAACGATTATATCCTTTCGTGAAATGGAAAACAAATTGGAAATTACAAAAATAGCGAAACTTAACGGATTTGTTGATGAAAAAATATATTCTTTGAGTGGTTGATGTATATATATATTATATTATATAGTATATTAGTATATTATTAAGAAAATATACGTCCGGATTACTAAAAAGCCAATGTTTTAATTTTGAAGAAAATTTATCTGATGTCAAACAAAATCTGATATCTTCCGGCAGTTCCCTAGTAGCACAAATATATTAAATACATATCAAATTAATATATTTTATATATAAAAGTGTGTATTAATGACCATTTTATATAATATTTAAAATATATAAATATATAAAAAATGTTTTTTAATCTATTTGATATTTAAAAAATATGTTCCAATAATATATTTTAGTGAATAATATTTAAATCAAAAACGTATTTAATATCACTTCCAAACATCCCATGGGGCCTAAACATAAAAACACAAAATAATAAAGATTTAGTATGAAAAGCACAATTATCAGTTGAGTAAATTGATAAAATAGTTCATATGAAGTTACCGTCGCCTTATTTAGAGTTTTAATTGTGGATTGTCAGGGTGTTCATCATCATTAAGGCCCCGTAATAAATCTGCTACACTGTACTTATTTCTCGAAGCAAGAAGCGGTCAAACCTAAAACTTGCTAAAATCTTCGCTCCTGTCTGTCTCTCTCTCT